ACTTCAGACTGTACTACAAAGCTACAGTAATCAAGACAGTATGGTACTGGCACAAAAACAGAAAGATAGATCAATGGAACAGGACAGAAAGCCCAGAGATAAACCCACACACATATGGTCACCTTATTTTGGATAAAAGAGGCAGAATATACATGAAGAAAAGCCAGCCTCTTCAATAAGTGATGCTGGGAAAACTGGACAGCTACATGTAAAAGAATGAAATGAGAACACTCCCTAACACCATACACAAAAATAAACTCAACATGGATTAAAGACCTTAATGTAAGCCCAGACACTATACACAGGCAGAACACTCTATGACATAAACCACAGCAAGATCCTTTTTGACCCACCTCCTAGAGAAATGGAAATAAAAACAAAAATAAACAAATGGGACCTATGAAACTTAAGAGCTTTTGCACAGCAAAGGAAACCATAAACAAGACGAAAACACAACCCTCAGGATGGGAGAAAATACTTGCAAACGATTAATCTCCAGAAGGTTAAAAAGGAGATTAATGCCCAAAAGGACAAAGGATTAATCTCCAAAGTTTACAAGCAGCTCAGGCAGCTCAATATCAAAAAAACAAATACTCCAATCCAAAAGTGGGCCAAAGACCTAAATAGACATTTTTTCAAAGAAGATACACAGATTGCCAACAAACATGTGAAAGGATGCTCAACATCACTAATCATTAGAGAAATGCAAATCAAAACTACAACGAGGTATCACCTCACACTGGTCAGAATGGCCATCATCAAAAAATCTACAAACAGTAAATGCTGGAGAGGGTGTGGAGAAAAGGGAACCCTCTTGCACTGTTGGTGGGAATGTAAAGTGATACAGCCACTATGGAGAACAGTATGGAGGTTCCTTAAAAAACTAAAAATAGAACTACCATACGACCCAGCATGTACTGGGCATATACCCTGAGAAAACCATAATTCAAAAAGAGTCATGTACCACAATGTTCATTGCAGCTCTATTTACAATAACCAGGACATGGAAACAACCTAAGTGTCCATCGACAGATGAATGGATAAAGAAGATGTGGCACATATATAACAACAGAATATTACTCAGCCATAAAAAGAAACGAAATTGAGTTATTTGTAGTGATGTGGATGGACCTAGAGTCTGTCATACAGAGTGAAGTCAGAAAGAGAAATACAAATATCGTATGCTAACACATATATATGGAATCTAAAAAAAAAAAAAGGTTCTGAAGGACCTAGGGGCAGGACAGGAATAAAGACGCAGACATAGAGAATGGACTTGAGGACACGGGGAGGGGGAAGGGTAAGCTGGGATGAAGTGAGAGAGTGGCATGGACATATATACACTACCAAGTGTAAAACAGCTAGCGGGAAGCAGCCACATAGCACAGGGAGATCAGCTCAGCACTTTGTGACCACCTAGAGGGATGGGATAGGGAGGGTGGGAGCAAGATGCAAGAGGGAGGAGATATGGGGATATATGTGTATGTATAACTGATTCACTTTGTTATAAAGCAGAAATTAATATTCCATTGTAAAGCAATTATACTCCAATAAAGATGTTAAAAAATTAAAAATTAAAAAATGTATACTTCTATAAGTTAAGAAGAATAAATAACATTGAAAATATTAAATATTTTAAAAATTAAGTCAATGTATGAAAGTCATAAAATAAACTATTTCTTGTTAAAAAGAAAGAATGGCATATACCACATGCATCAAGGAAGTGGATCACAAGTAGTTGGACTATAACTACATATAATCAGTGTTTATCGTATCTATATGTTTAATATTAAAACAGGTTACATGGAGCTATCAGCATGGAAAAATACATTGATAGTTACAAGTCACACTGTCCTTCAACTGAAATTTCAAATTATGTCTTTGGTTTGAATCCAATGGTACATCATTGCTCTCTAAAATATGCAGTTTTTGGGCTTCCCTGGTGGCACAGTGGTTGAGAGTCCGCCTGCCGATGCAGGGGACACGGGTTCGTGCCCCGGTCCAGGAGGATCCCACATGCCACGGAGCGGCTGGGCCCATGAGCCATGGCCGCTGAGCCTGTGCGTCCGGAGCCTGTGCTCCACAACGGGAGAGGCCATGACAGTGAGAGGCCCGCGTACCACAAAAAAAAAAGGACCACTATTTCTGTCTTGGGCTGGCTCTCTCGCATACATGTTTTCTTTTCCCTCCCTCTTTCCCCGGAAAGCAGCCTGCCATGCTGTGGGCAGCCCAATGGCCAGGAACTGATGTCTCCAACCAAGAGCCAGTAAGAAGTAACAGCCAGTAAAACCAACCAAGAACCACAGGAATAATCTTGGAAGAAATTTCTGTAGCCCCAGGGGTGCCTTGAGATGACAGAAAAACCAGGCTACATTATAACCTCATGAGAAACCTTGAGCCACTACCGCCCTATTAAGTGACTCCCGTATTTCTTACCTGGAGTCCCTGTGCAAGAGAAGAACTATTTGCTGTTTTAAGCCGCTAAATTTTAGGGCAATTTGTTACACAGTAATAACTAACGAATACAGATGGCAAGAACTAGGGTATATTCTGTTTAAAAGCTGACAAACTAACTACTTGATATTTCAGCATTTTCAGAAATTAAGCAGGCAAACCAAGTAAAAGTCGCATATAGACCTGGATTTCTCCTATAATAAGAGTAAGAGGTACCTTGAGTAGTGTTGGAAGAAGCCAAATTCAAAAGGGTTAAATAGTGAGTGATGGTAAGAAAGTGAAATAAATTCAAATTTGTCCAGACCCCTCCCCATCTTGTCTCGTCCCAGAAACACGTAAGTCAATGATGTATCTATCGGGGGAAAAAAGTCGTATGAACTTATGTTGGCTACGAATCGACTTTATGATCTTAACAAAACTTTAGCATTTTAAATTTCTTCCTTATTTTACTTTCTTCAATAGAGCCTCAGTTTCAGCTTCATTGATGATCCAAACCAGGTCGGAAAAAAAGTGTATTTTCCACTTTCAGTGGAAATAACCTCCTTTCATTTGTAACAGAGCAGCTTAAAGATTGCTTAAGGTGGAGATAATGGCTTATATGAATTGTGTGTAATGCTGCATTAACTTGTTGTCATTACCATCGTTATTAAAACTGCAGCCAAACATTCGCCATGTGCTCTACAGAGCACATTAGCTTATACAAGACATCACTGATGCCCTCTAAGAACAGATCCAAAGAGCTCAAAAGCAGTGAGTTCTCATCGATACATGAAAAAAAAAACCAACCTAGATTGTACTACATCAGCTTAGAAGCATGCAATGTAGGAATGAGAAGATTCGGTTAATCTTATTTTTCAAACAAAACCTTAACAAATAGAAGTTAGCTTTGGAGGTTCAAATCAAGAGCGAAGCAGGAAATATAAGGGGAATTCATCTAAAGGCATTAACTCAAAATTTTCCTTCACCCCCGAGCCATTCAGAAACAAAAAAAGCGGGCTTCCCATTCTTTCCTGCTATTTCCTCATCCTGTCAGATTGACACTTGCAGTCTTGGCAAGCTGACAGCATTCAAGAGAGGGAGAGAACAGTCACATCTGGCCAGATCTTCAACTGGTTTCTCGGTCTGCTTGTCCCTGCCTCTCCTGCTGTTTCTTCTGCTCCCGAAAATATGATTAATGTCTATGAATTTGCAAAACTCTGCATTGTAAGCAAGGCTGAGGGCTTTCCATCCCAAGGAGGTTGAGGTATGGAGTTAATAAGAAGTGAGACTGTGGGGAATGAATAGAAACATGCCATTGTTAAAGTAATTGAGCATGAATATCAAACACTGACTTGGGAGCAGTCTTCATTTGCTGATGGAAAGGCTGATCAGCTGGTGGGTAGATGGGGTGTGCACAGATCTGCATTCACTGCTGGCCCCAGAATTTCCATCACAACAGCCTACACTTTATAACCTTGGTACCTTGTTTCCTCACCTAGATTCATGTTTCCCTTTTTTCTCTTTCTTTTCTTTTTCCTTTTCCCTTCTTTCCTTCTATCCTCCCCTGCCTCCCCCTCCCTCCTTCCTTCCTACAAAAGTTTTCCTCTTTCTTCTTTATGAATTAATCTCACCCATCCCAGAGCCTTATACAGAATTTAAAGTTTCTTTCAATAACTGCTGTTTCTTTACAAAATGCACGATTTACTAATGCCAGTTCACAATAACACAGATGATGGTGCTGTGGCTAGAAGAACTGCTGAGGCTATAATTATCATTTTAAAAACCCTGCATCGTCCTCTAAAGCCAGTGAAAACTTGAGTGATTAATTAGTATAAGACACTCCTCTGTGTCTTTTATCATTCGCAATTAGATCATTTGTATGTTCTTAAGTGGCAAGGATCTTTGGAAGATGTGCACAATAGTGACAAAATGAACACCTTAATAAGCTGCACATTATTATTAATTTCAAGTTGTAATGAATAGTGTTATTCAGAACAGAGTAGTTCTGTTCTGAATAACACTATTATTTTAGTAATAGTTTCAAGAAAACTAATATTAAAAAAAATAACTGGTTCTAAAATTCTAGGTACTCACAATTAGGGATTTTTATAAAAATTCATTTACAAAGATGTTTTTCATTTACAATAAAATGGACAACATTTAAATGTACATCAATTGGGAACTGGTTAAGTAAAATACAATACATTCATTAAATGAAATTTAAAATGTGTGAAAAATACATAATTAATGAGGATGTAGACAATACAGTATATTTTTAATGAGGCATAAAAACTATAAACTCATTTAAAATATACATGCTTAAAAGACTAAGCATTAATGTTTAACTGATGGTCATAGAAATTCTAAAATTGTGTTCCCACTTGTCATTTTCTAAATTTCCATTTGAATGTGTATGACAATTGCTAGAAAAAAACTTCTTAAGTAACAAAGTAACCAAACAATGAGTTTCTCAATCCCTACACATACACCAAGAAAACCAGGGAAAAAAACATAGGAAAAGCAATCACATGAGAAAGACCTTAAATATAGAAGTGTTAATGGTTTACCTTAATGGCGTAGTATTCTCTAACTTCAGGCCTAATAGAATCAAAGTCTCCACTGATGAATTCAGGCAGAAAGCTGAAAGAAAGAGTTCCAAGTAAGTCGACTATTTAAGGCTACTTAGTTGCTAACCTTTAAAACTATGATTATTAAGGACCAGAGAGAGAGAGCTAATGTACTCAAAAGGAAAAAGCAACAGAGCCTATTTTCGGAGTGAATGGGATGTTACATCTTATATGCTTAGTTTCCATACAGTATGATTGAGGGCAACTCCACATATCCAACTAATGTGTCAACTTAGTCTATCAGTCAATATTTATCTTGCTTAAAAAAACATATAAAGGGGCTTCCCTGGTGTCGCAGTGGTTAAGAATCCGCCTGCCAATGCAGGGGACGTGGGTTCGAGCCCTGGTCGGGGAAGATCCCACATGCCACGGGGCAACTAAGCCCATGCGCCACAACTACTGAGCCTGCGCTCTAGAGCCCGTGCTCCACAAGAGAAGCCACCGCAATGAGAAGTCCGCGCTCCGCAAAGAAGAGTGGCCCCGCTCGCCGCAGCTAGAGAGAGCCCGTGCTCAGCAACGAAGACCCAACGCAGCCAAAGATAAATAAATAAATAAATTTATTTAAAAAATATATATGTAAAGATTAAAGAAGATTATTGGTTTAAAAAAAGCTCTCAGTTCAAAACCCTAACACAAAGACTCATAGTCTCTGCATAGTCCCTTCTACAAATATATACGAACTTTGACAGTATTTTACCCTGATACCAGTTTAAAACTTCCAGCAGATTTGAACTGAACAAATGATGATGAGGATTAGGCATTCTTTGTAGAGCAGGAGTCAGTTCAAAACCATTTTCTAAATATGCTATTGACAGGGCTTCCCTGGTGGCGCAGTGGTTGAGAGTCCGCCTGCCGATGCAGGGGACACGGGTTCGTGCCCCGGTCCGGGAAGATCCCACGTGCCGCGGAGCGGCTGGGCCCGTGAGCCATGGCCGCTGAGCCTGCGCGTCCGGAGCCTGTGCTCCGCAACGGGAGAGGCCACAACGGTGAGAGGCTCGCGTACCGCCAAAAAAAAAAAAAAAAAAAAAAATCCTACTGACATATTTCTAGAAACAGGAATCTTCTAGATAGTTCTGCAATACCACAAAGGTCATGGTTACTAAAGAAAGAGAATCTCCCCAAATGGATGTTTCTAATCATATCACTGTTACCTTATTTCTCTTCCCTACCATTTATATTTTTTCAGAACTCATTTTGGAAAACCTACCTTACTGTATCGACATAAGCCATCCTTTACTATTTTTTACGTAAAACACTGACATGACCTGGTAGAATTTCTTCCCACTTAAAACACCTAACTGTGGAGAAATAAAACTTCCCTGGACTTCCAGTACTCTGGCCAAACGCTCTTGCTTTCTGAGCTTCCTAAGTACCTATGATATAAAGAAGAGAATAGTTGCTTTCATGTCTTCCAGAAATATTCTGCTCTTCATATACCATAAAAATTAGATCTAGCTTTTTACCTAATTGTCCTGATTCAGAATCATAATATAACTTCTATATGTCTTCTCAAGATGGCCAAATTGTTACATAAGGAACCAGGTTCCTAGTTAAAGGGAGACTGAATATTACTGCTGGGCATTATATGTCAAAAGAGATAAAGCCCCAGAACCTAGAGACATCTCTAGGTCATAAAAGCTAAGACACACGGAGCTATGTGGCTCCTGGAGAGATTTTACTGATATAAATTGTTAAATCGGTTGGGGTTAAGATTCAGGCCCATAAAATTTCCACCAGAGACTCTTTCAAGAGGGGAGAAGCATAGCTGCCACCTCCCACTTAATAAGTTAAGGGAAAATATCATATTTCCTTGTCTTTCACATATGGAGTATGCAGCTATTAGCACGGGACCATTGACCTATCACTGCATGAGCCAAGGGATAAGACCTAGAGCACAGGAATTGATGCAATATCAAAATATAACTGGAAGTGGTGCAAAAGGCAAGGAAGGCCTTCATATCCAAGAGGAGGCTGATAGGATTCCATGAAAGTTAAATATTTAATACTTGTTTCATCTAACTTTTATTAGAGGTAATAAGAACTCTGACTCAGAGCTTCTTGTGTACACATTCAGGATAAAATTAATAAGGAAGAGTATTTAAAAACCCATTACTAACCTTGTTCTTTCGTACAATGTTTTTAAGTTCTTAACCCAATTGGAAATAGGACTTCTTAGGTCAACTCAGTTAACTAGCCTATGTTGGACCAACTCTTCTTTGATCTATACATCTTCTTAGGACTAAATGGTTATGAGAAAATTCTACCACAGAGTTCTGTACCATATAAACCACACAGTTTTGTCTTTTCATTAAACAATGATAGTTACTTATTAAAATTTTCAATCAACTGATTTCAGAAACATTCAGTGAACATCAGCCATGTGCAAAAAACAACAGTTCTCTCAGAATAAGGTAAAACTGGGAAGTAAAATAGGTTTCTAAATCACCTTGCCTGGTTTCAACATCTTCCTACAAACTTTTCTCCTCAAAATGTCCCTACCATAGTATCTATGAATTTCAAAATTTCATTTTATACCTATTTTGGTAACTCCCTTATATCTTAATTAGGACTAAAGATAGACTATTAGTTCATATCTCTTCTTTTCTTCCTGTTGCAAAAATTAATTCATTTTCAAAGTTTCTTTCAAATGCCTCCACCTACCACCATTCAACCACACACAAGTTAAAACGCATATGGATCACAGAATATTCATGCTTCTTATGGTCTGAATGTTTATGTCCCCACAAAATTCATATTCATATGTTGAAACCCTAACACCTAAATTAGGAGGTGATCAGGTCAAGAGGGTGGAGTCCTCATGAATAGATGAGTGCCCTTATAAGAGAAACCCCAGAAAGCTCTCCCCATTTCCATCACATGAGGACACAGCAAGAAAACAGCCATCTATCTGTCTAGGGGACAGACCTCACCATACAGTGAATCTGCTGGCACTCTGACCTAGAACTTCCCAGCCTCCAGAACTGGGAGAAGTTAGTGTTTGTTGTTTATAAACCATCCAGTCTATGGTATTCTGTTATAGCAACTTAAAGGGATTGAGACGTTGCTGGCAAGGATAAAAGGAATCATTCCTCCAATACCTCCATTATCCTTTTAAAGGAATTGAAATATACGAAGTCAAGTGAGTTTTGTGTGTCAGGTGAGTTTGGCCAGTACTTCACCATGTAAAGCAGTCATTTTAACTTAGGACTCTGGCTCTGTGCAGTCCAAACCACGTGACTTCCTAATAAGACCTACTCTATGTTCCCCCACAAACTTTAGCACCTCAAATATCAAGAATCAATTTGGCAGTTTCCAAATACTACATTTTTTTGACAATAAATAAAATGAAAAATAAAAGCTGATAAATGTAGTCAGCTGAACATCTATCCCCTAGGATACATCATCTTAAAGAGCATTAGATATTTTTCTTACTCTGCAATTAATGAAGGAAAGCAATCACGTAAATTCACTTATATATTCATGTAAAATATTAACAGGAAAACAAAATTATATAAATAAAAGATAACCAACTTCAGTAAGTTTTTAATATAATTTTCTCCAGTATAACACAGATGCTTTTAAAATGAATGAGGATGCTTATTTCTAAAAAGACTCATAGCAAAAATATACCTGGTATACACGCTGAGATAACTAAAATAATTATAACATTTCCTGATATTATAATGCACTAGTTTCTGAATCTTCCTGAAATGTGCTTTTGGACGTTGCAATTAAAAGCCCACCTAACATTTTCTGAGGCACCTGTTGCCAAGGCGCCTGGGCATTCTGAAGAGGTACTTGTTGGGGATGACACTTCACAGATGTAGAGGAACTATATTATGATATAAAAGACAGTGTACACAGAAGATAATTTTCAAAACTATTTGGAGACTGACTGCACATAGCAATTGATGAAGAGTAAATGGATTTGTGTCACCAGTGATCACATTTCTGCCTACTGTTGATGTACATCACACCAGTGGACCTCTTCTTAGTATCCTCAGTCTACCAGCACCGACTCGTTAGTATTAAAAGGTGTTACAAACTCTACAAAAATGGCATAGACTCTTGATATTTATATTTTAAATATTACTGCACTTGCTACTCACTAATGACAACGTAAGAGATCAAAAAGAGTTGAGATTAATTCATGAGCTAAAGATCCATCACATGTAATAACTGAGAGAAAGGCTGACACATACAGAAGACATACTTAACCACGGTGTGTTACAATTACTGTCTTTCATAAGACATTTTCTGACCACAGAGCCTTCTCTGCTCCCAAAGAAGATACAACCACTGCCTTCCAACTTCCATAGCAGTGAATCTCTTACTTTCCATTTCATTTTAAGCAATTTTATAAATGTCTTTTAGCTTCTTCTAGACTAAGTTCTTGGAGCAGGAGATCTCTGATTGATCTTGGTATTCCCCAAAGCACCAAGTACACAGATGGTGACAATAATGTAATAAAGTGAAAAGGCAGAGAAGGAGAAGCAGGAGGGATGAGGGGATGAAAGGAAGAGAAGTGGGAGTAGGTGGGAAAAGGAGAAAAAGGAAGAGGGGCGGGGGAAGGAAGGGAGGACAAAAAGAGGAAGCAGAGTGAGGGGAGGGGAGGGAAAGAGTAGAGAGGAGGAAGTAGAAAAAAATGGTAAAAAGGAAAGAAAAAGACCAGGAGAGGGAAGGAAGGGGAAGAAGTGGAAAAGAACAAGGAAAGAAACCTTCAATATGAACTTCTTACTACACCTGCTCCCTAACTCTTAGCTTGTCCAAATTATTTCACTTCTCTGAGCCTCATTTCCTCTTATGTAAAATGAGGATATAATGTGGAGTGGTTGTGAGGATTAAGAGTTAACATATGTAAAGGACTTAGAAAATGCCCCGCATGACGCAAGCAGGACTGAAGCCATTCAGTTAAAACAAAAGTTATTACTAGAGAAGCTAAGTAACTTGTTCGAGGTTAGAAGGCTAATAAGGGCTAGAACCAAATCTCACACCCAGGCAGCACCGTCTTTA